CCTGATGCCTATTGCAATTTGGCCCACTGTTTGCAGGTAAGGAAACTCGATTGAGTTCTTTGAAAATTGGGCAGCTTTTCTGTATTTGCAAGCTACACAGACCGCTGCTTTTTCTTTTAAGATTGTTTGTGACTGGACTGATTATGATGAACGAATGAAGAAGCTGGTTACCATAGTTGCTGATCAGCTGGAGAAGAACCGACTCCCTTCTGTCCACCCTCACCATAGCATGCTCTACCCGCTGTCTCACAGCTTCCGGAAGGCTATAGCGGAACGACATGGAAACCTCTGTTTGGATAAAGTGGGTTCACTGCTCAAAAGCTTTGCAGCATCCATTCCTTTGGAAGACACAGGCAGGGAAGGGGGGGGGGTCCCTTCTTAATGCATTACAAGTAGCTGCCATTTTTTCCTTGCCAGATCAATGTGCTTCACAAGCCCCCATATGAGCACCCTAAGGAGTTGAAGGCCAGTGAAGGCAGGCTTCGTGTGGGCTACGTCAGCTCCGACTTTGGGAATCACCCCACGTCGCATCTCATGCAGTCAATCCCAGGCATGCACAACCCAGACAAATTTGAGGTAAGGGGCCTTTGAAGGAAGTTGGCACCTTGCATGAGTCTGATAGAATGTCCTGATCTGGAAGTTGCAGTGGTGAGTGGTGCACCCTTTTTAAATGCAGCCCTTTTTGATCACGTGCTGTGGAAAGCAGCCTCTGGTGATCCTGAATCCCAAACATCGCAGGGTTGCTCCCTTCTAGGTGTTCTGCTATGCCCTGAGCCCTGACGACGGCACAAACTTCCGAGTGAAAGTCATGGCTGAAGCAAATCACTTCATTGATTTATCTCAGGTAAGAGTGATTCCCAGGATGCAAAATTCTGTTGGTGTCTGAGCAAAGGAAGCTTCGTAGAACAGCATGCTTTGTTGTAAAGTTGGTGGGGTGTAGTCTTAAACTTGAGATGAAAATGACTTTAGTTCCAGTGTTGAGCAACATAACACAATCATGCTCTCTACTAGTTAATGACCTTGGCAATTAAAGGCCACACTCCAGCATTCAGAACAACTGGTCCATTTATGGCTTTATGTTTGGAGATTTAGAAGTTGCATCAAAATTTGTGATGTCTTCTTGAATCTCTATTTTTGGAAAACAAAGTCAAATGTTGCCCTGATATATCAGTCCATGAATGTTGGTTGCCGTCCTTGAACAAAGCAGAAAGATGGCTTAGCAACAAGTTTTAATTTTGGCCTCCTAGGTTCCATGCAATGGGAAAGCCGCTGATCGCATCCACCAGGACGGCATACATATCCTCATTAACATGAACGGCTACACCAAGGGAGCCCGGAACGAGCTGTTTGCCCTCAGGCCAGCGCCAATCCAGGTAACACAGCTGCCCTGAAGTCACTTCAGATGCTCCTTGTCAAACATGATAGTGGGCTTCTTTCTGTGAAAATTACCTTCTTTCTCCCTACTTCCTTTGGATTTCATTTTGTACGAGTGGTAGGCGAATTTTGCCCACATTATTACAAAGGAATAGCAATGCTTTTGGTGCATGATAAAAACTGTTTGTCCTGCCTTGAAGTTGGGTCACAGGAATGCCCCAAATTTCATATTACAAATAGACTGTTTCAGTCTTTAGATCCCCCTGCTTGCAATAATTTAAAATTACCTAATTGGTTGTTTAATTTTATTTTTAAAAACTTGTGCTCTTAGTTATCCACTAAATACATGAAGTGGTCATTAGCTCTGCGTTGTCTCCTGAAATTTTCTGAAAGACGTTTTTGTGGCTGGTTGTGATAATTGCTACTTTGTAAATATGTACCGTAGGGTTCTTTCAGGACACTGTTGGAGATTTGGGGTGACCTTGACCCCAGGCATGTTTTATCTTCATTTCTAGGCTATGTGGCTGGGCTATCCAGGGACTAGCGGTGCCTTATTCATGGATTATATCGTCACAGACAGAGAAACATCACCCATAGAAGTAGCTGAGCAGTACTCCGAAAAGCTGGCTTACATGCCCAATACATTCTTCATTGGAGATCATGCAAATATGTTCCCACACCTGAAGGTACCATGGAGTTCAGTGAGCAAGGCTAGAGTTGGCCAGCTTTGTTTCTCTCTGAAGTTAACACAAGCTCAAATTCCAGCCTCCTCAAAGCATTTCTTTCCTTTCAGAAAAAAGCAGTTATTGACTTCAAATCGAATGGGCATATTTATGATAACAGAATTGTTCTGAACGGCATTGATCTAAAGGCGTTTCTCGATAGCCTACCTGATGTAAAAATGGTAAAGGTGAGAACATTTCAGGAACATGGATAGCACAGCATGAACATGCAGACAACTCAGCAGTATCTTGTAGAGGGCTGCAAATGGGGAAATGAGGAATGGGAAGGGATGTATAAAGTTTGGCTGGGTTCTATGGCTGGCTGCTTCCTCCTCCTGAAGACAAATGGGGTTTGCTTGTCTTGGCTTCTAGATGAAAAGTCCCGATGGAGGAGACAATGCAGACAGCACCGCCAGTCTCAGCATGCCCGTCATCCCCATGAACACAATTGCAGAAGCTGTGATAGATATGATAAATCGTGGACAAATTCAGATAACAATAAATGGATTCAACATTAGCAATGGATTAGCAACTACTCAGGTGAAAATCTGCATCTCCTGTTGGGATTCTGGAGCTCCTATAGTCGAGGGTCTCGGTTGGGGAAGGAGGGGGGAAGAGGGAACTGGCCTTGTGAAAGGCAGTAAAGGAAGGCCTGCAGGCCGGAGATCCAGGGGCTCTACAGCCATCCTGAGTGTATTCTTACATTTAGATCAACAATAAAGCTGCAACTGGTGAGGAGGTTCCACGCACCATCATTGTCACCACTCGATCCCAGTATGGGCTACCTGAAGATTCAGTTGTCTATTGTAACTTCAATCAGCTTTATAAGATTGACCCCTCCACTCTGCAAATGTGGGCTAATGTGAGTAATTAGGTTCTTTTTAAAACATAGACTTGAGGGTGGAGTTTTGTCTAGGTCACGTTGCACGTACCTAAAGCCTCTCATTTTGTCTTTCCTGCCTTTAGATTCTGAAGCGTGTTCCAAACAGTGTTTTATGGCTGTTGCGATTCCCAGCTGTGGGGGAGCCAAATATCCAGCAGTATGCTCAAAATATGGGCCTGCCCCAGAACCGCATCATCTTCTCCCCCGTTGCTCCCAAAGAAGAGCACGTGAGGAGGGGCCAACTGGCCGATGTGTGCCTCGACACTCCCCTTTGTAACGGCCACACCACAGGGATGGACGTGCTCTGGGCTGGGACTCCAATGGTCACAATGCCAGGTAAGGGGGGGGGCTCTGCCCAGATGGCCCCTTCCTCAGTCAAGGGCCTGTGCCTGAGCAGCTGTGAGCATCTTGTTTTCTGCCTCCAGGAGAGACATTGGCCTCCCGGGTGGCGGCCTCTCAACTGACTTGCCTTGGCTGCCCTGAACTCATCGCAAAGAGTCGGCAGGAATATGAAGACATTGCAGTGAAACTGGGAACGGATCTAGAATAGTAAGTGTGTTTCTGAGGGGTGGGAACCCTAGTGTGGGTTCAGTCCCGAAAGTGCCCGGGGCAAGAGTCGTCAGGACTGGGGCAAATAGTTGGCATGTGAGAAAGGATGAGTTTCTGAAGCCGAGGGCTTCTAAGCACTGGGGGTTTGTTCTCCCCTGCAGCCTGAAGAAGATTCGTGGCAAGGTCTGGAAGCAGAGAATATCCAGCCCCCTGTTCAACACCAAGCAGTACACGATGGAGTTGGAGCGGCTTTATCTCCTGATGTGGGAGCACTGTGCAGCTGGCAGCAAACCGGAGCACATCATCAATTCCCTGGAGAGTGGTGAATCTGCCTAAATCACTGGTGTGTGGAAGCTGTCGGGAGGCTCCTGGGCAGAAGCCACAAACAGGGACTTTACCTCTGCTTCGTCTGCCTGGAACTCTAGCAGAAACGATCTATGGTTGGAACTGGAGAGAGCAGCCGGACTTGCCTCTTGCATGAAGGAGGAGGTGGAACTGCCTGTCCCGGCCGAAGCATTTGTCGCTGGTCTCCGCTGGGCCCAGATATGCGTCTCTGGGCTGGGCTTTACAAGGAGAGGTGTAAAACAGCCAGGCAGCTGCAATTTCATGGATTGATTCAGTTTTCCTAGAAGTTAGATCTTTCTCTTCCTTCGTGGATTGGAACTGGAGCTTTTTTTTTAACTATTGGTTTTCGGGTATTCCTGTTGGTACAGGTGTGGGTCTGACAAGGTTTCCAGCTAGTTTGAGTTGCTCCTCCCCGAGAATCTCTCTGCTGGTGAAGCTTTTTTATGGGTTTTATAAACCACTTGAGCCAACATCGGCCTCCTTAATGTCTCACACGTCTCTTAGGCTGTGAGTGCCGTCTTGACTCTGATGAGGGCTTTTTTTAAAGCCTCCCGTCAGTTCACTTCAGAATGGCACACTTCTCTGTAGGGAAGATAAATTGAATTTAAAATACGACCTCCCCATCTTTCTCTGAAATATGTAGAGAAACCCAACCTGGTGCCAAATGCTTATCCTTCAGGAAAAATAATTATGTACAGAGAGGCAGGCGTGGCCACTGTAGCAAAGATTTGAAAAACAAAGCTCTGGTTTGACTAGGTTGGCCCCTGGACAGGGGTCTGGCTCTTCCTCCACAAAGCAATTAGGTGGCCTGCCTTGGAGGCTCCCTTACTAAGCGAAGCTCCCCTCTTGACCAGCAGAAATGCCACCCCAGGTAAGTATGCATTTTCTTTTCAGTGCCTGCCTCCAGTCGGAGGAGTGCTGTTCACCGGCCACCTTCCCGTGGAGCACCCAGAGGCTGGGGGGCAGAAGTGCCCCCCATCTGAGCAGGCAGGAAGAAACGGCTCCTCCCCCACTGAATCTGCTCTGGGCTCCCCAGTGCTGGCAGAGCAACTCTCCCTTGGGCCCACCCTGAAGGGGGAGGGGGGGGGAGGAAAAGCTGCTGGGGCTCTGCTTGACCTGTACCAGCCTTTGTGTCCGGATGCGTGTCTGACAAATACAGATGAAATCACTGGCCCGGCTCTGGATCTTTTCTCGGCGGAGGAGGCTGCTTCCGGGTGGGGGCGGGGCAGCGCGTGGGGGACGGGCGGTCGCCCAGGCAACGCCAGTCGTGGCGGAGAAGCGGACGATGGTGAGGCGGGCGGCGGCTCGGCGGGTGGGATGGGAGAAGAGGGAGCCCGGCGGTCATCGAGGCTGTCGCCCGTCCAGGCTCATAGAGCGAAGGGGGCGGCGGCCGCCTTGCCGCGGGGGAAGCTCGGCCCGAAGCTGGAGCTCAGCGCGGCCCACAAGCAGCAGATGCGGGAGGCCTTCGACCTGCTGGACGCGGACGGGACCGGCACCATCGACGTGCAGGACCTGAAGGCGAGCGGGCCCCGCTGCGGGGGGGGAGCGCTGGGCGGGGCTCTCCCTTCGCCCCTCTCGTCCTCACCGCCTCCCCCCGCCCAGGTGTCCATCCGCGCCCTGGGCTTCGACCCTCCCAAGGAGGAGCTGCGCCGGCTCGTGGCCGAGGTGGACAAGGAGGGCGCGGGCAAGATCGGCTTCGACGCCTTCTACTCCGTCATGGCCCAGAAGATGGTAGGGCCGGCAGCCCGGAGCCCGCGGGGGCGGCCGGGGCAGGGAGCGCTTCGCCGTAGAACCTCCTGTCCTGAAGGGGGGGAATCGGGCCGGAAGCCCCTGGCCCGGCGGGGGGGATCCGCGGGCGAGGGAAACGAACTTTCCCCCCCCCCCGATCCCGTAGTCGGAAACCGACTCCCAAGAGGACGTCCTGAAGGCCTTCCAGCTCTTCGTGGACAAGGACAGCGGCCGGATCGCCTTCGGGAACCTGAAGCGGATCGCGGCTGAGATCGGGGAGACGCCCACCGACGAAGAGCTGCAGGTGGGCTCGCCCCCCCTCCCCGCCAGCCCCCCTTTGGGAGGCCCTGCGGAGGAGGGCCTGCCCGCTGTCCGCGCAGGCTCCGCCCTCTTTCTCTGCCCCACAGGAAATGATTGACGCAGCCGACCTGGACGGAGACGGGCAGGTGAGCGAGCAGGAGTTCCTGAGGGTCCTGAGGAGGCGCGATTTCTAGGTGAGCCCCTCCTGTCGGCTGAGCGCTCAGGGCGGCCCGGACGGCAGGGCCAGGAGTCGTCCGATGGCGAGGTGGGCCGCATGGAGTCTCAACCGGCCAACAAACCCCAGGGCCCGGCTGGCTCTTCTCCGGCGTGACCCTGGAGTGGCCCTCTCGCCCCAGTTCCTCCTCCCAGACCTGCTGGACCACAAGCCTCTCTTCGTCTCTGCTTCGCTGAAGGGGGGGGGGAATGGGGCCCAGGAAGCTATGACGCTTTCTGGCCAATTAGACACGGCTCCGTAGGGGGCATGGTAACCTCACAGCTCAAAAGCACATATTTTTCCCTCCCAAAGCTGTTCCCACAGCTGGATTTGGGAGTTCCTGCATGCAAAGCAGGTCATCTGCCCAGACGTGTGAATGAGGGATTGGTTTTTCTTCACTCAGACAACATATTGTGTGAGCCCAGCCACAGCTTCCCAGGCTAAATAAGGATTCTGGCTGAGGAGCATCTGACGATCAAAAGAGATACAGACACCTTCAGCAGGAGAGAACCCACTAAAAATCAAAAGCACAGGAATTGCCTGAATTTTTGTGACAGGGCAAAATGTCCACAGAACTGGGGGGGAGGAGGGGGGCAGAAGGTGCCCAACAGGTGGGAGTGGTTGGACTGTCAGCTTTCCCTCCTCTGCTGAATGGGATGGTTTATTCTGATGGTTTGCAAAAATTTTTGCCAAAGGGGGAGGGGCAGCTCTGCACATAGATAACGCCTGCCTGTCAGGCCTTGAAAAATAAAGTTGTATACGTTGGAATTGCTTCTCCCTGGTGGTTGAGAGAAGCAACTGTGAGTGTGTGCCAAGACAAGGACCAACACTTGGTCTCCCCAAGAAAGATTGTCAGAACTTCATTGCAACTGATGAAAAGCAACTGAAGCAGCCATGAAGGAAAAGAGGCGGGGGGGGGGAGGGTTAAAAAGCAACAAGCAACGGCTGCCTGCTGCTCATCCTCCTTTGTGGTGAGATTGGCCAAGGATCAGGAGGACACAGATGGGCTAGTGGGGCTTGTAGACCCAAACAGAAAGAACGCCTGAAAGGAGCAGAAATCACGAGTGGCTCTTGGCTTGTGTTTTTCTGATCTTGAATCTTCTGTGACCTCACGGGAGTCCAGCCAACGGCTGAGCTTGCTTTTGACCCACGGCCAGAGACGCGGCTGCAGCTGTTTCACTGCACATGAGCAAACGGCTCTGCCACCCCACCTGGAGCCCTCCTGCCAGCCCGGCCCAGCTCTTTCTGAACAAGCAGCTGCCGCATTCTCGCCCTGCATTCCATGTCCAGAGGGAGGGCAGGAAGCCCACATTTATTGTTATTGAGAGGAGTAAAAATAAGAGGGTTGGACTTGGCATCAATGAATTCAGCCCTCTGGCATTCCACAGCCCTTTCCCGCACTTCCTCCTGTGATCCATCACACCCCAGCACTGCTTTATGGGAACACCTCTGAAGGGGATTTATGGCTGGCATATATTATGCCTTACAGGGAGCTGCAGAGGAGTGGGAGACCCTGGTAATTACTTTGTAAATATTAATGCCCTGTCCCCTGGAGAAGTGAGAGGCGGAAAGGCAGGCTGTTTCTGCAGAGTCAAGTTCTGGAGGTAGCAGCAGGCGGGCCCAGCTCTCCAGCAGGAAAGCTCAGAGTGACAGTCAGGCCTCAGTGGGTGACCGGAGCTGAGCCTGTTCATTCCCCTGGCATTAGTGGGCAGTGTACCCTGGGGACATTTGAACTGACATTCCCTCTCCTCAAAGCCTGGCTGGTCAGGCTACCTGCACCCTGAAAAATGTGGATACGCAATTAGGGGCACCTTGGCTTATTTTGCCCTTCCCTCCCCGCCCTCTTTTTCTCTACCAATTCTGTTCCAGTTCAAGGTGACCCATTGCTTGGGTGCCCTGGCTGAAAAGCATTTTTAGTCGTGTAAATGATAATTTGTAAGTAGGCTGCCTTGTTCAAAGAGTAGAGCCACTGCTTCTAGATGTTTCCACCAAGCAAGGACATATTCTTGGTGTGCAGAACTGTCCAGATTCCAATGGAAGAGAATATTTGAACCTGCTGTTTTCTGAGCAAGGCTGTTTCCTTGCAGACATCTCTAGGGAACGTAATCAGCTCTAGCATCAGGGATTCCACTATCCAGACTAGACTGCTGGTCCTTTGCCCCCACCTCCCCTGGGTTTTCCTGGCCCAGCAGCCTCTTTGTTTTTGCCTGCTCCATGCCAGGATGGACCAGCTTCACATATGAATAGGAAGCAAAGAATAGAAGCCCAAAAACTGCTCAATTCTGTTCCAAATGCTGATTTGGACAGACCAACGTCTGCACAGGTGTGTTCATTCCAAGGAGGTGAAGGAGAAAGGAAAACTGCTTGGACTTCTCAAAGCTCAACTACTGGGAAATCCCCCTCTGAGCTCTCCTGTTTCCATCTGAGCAGAATCATTTGCTGGCTTGGCAGATCATGGGCCCCCATCTTGCAGTGACACCCCGCTCCAGCCAGCCAGAGCCGGGCCTTCAGGAGTCCAGCTGGCAGGAGGAGGTGCTGCTGCGGGGCCTGGCCTTGCACAGGTAAGGAAGGTGAACCTTCCTGGGGGCTCTGGTAGTTGGTAACTTCCCTGGGGTCAGACCATCTTCCGGGGCATTGGGCCAGAGTGGATCCCAAGCTAAGGCAAAAGAGTTGGGCTCAGATGGAAGAAATAATGGGTGCTCCAGGAAAAGAGGCGATCCTGGTGTCCTGAGCAAAATCGTTGAAGGGAAGAGCAGAGGCTGCTCCAGTCAGATCCCCGGATCTCCTTTTCCAGCACAGCTAGGAGGCCAGCATTCTTGCACTGACAAACCACCATTTGCCACTATCAGCTCTTGCACAAGTGTGTGGAAGATGTGTGCAAGAGCATACAGTATAAGCTGCCATAGGCAGCTTGGTGGCTGCTTCATCCTAGCCTGTGCTGGGTTGCTTCCCTCCCCCATCCTTTGCTTGGCATCCTCCCTCTCTCTGCCCCTGATACCCTGCCAGGCTGGGCAGTGACTCCAGGCTGTTTTCTTCCCTTGGTGCTACCTTGCTCCAGAACCAAACCTCTGGGCCAGGAAGTGTCCCTAAGAGCACAGGCTAGAAAGCCCCCCCCCTCCCAGCACTGGGATGAGCCTAGAGATTGGAGTGCATTGGGGAATGTTGTATTGGGGAGCGGGTTATGTTGAGGATGCTGCTTTGTTTTATCACGGCTGGTGTGTGAGCTACCCAGAGTTATGACACATAGGATGGGCAGCCATACCGGTCTGAATTAATTCTAAAACAGGGACTAAGTCAGCATGAAGGTTCTGGGATTTCTGCTAAAAGCGAAATGTCCCTGAAGCAGAAGGTCTCGCTGTCCCCGGTGAGAAAAGGACAATTAAAAACGTGGGCTAGTTCGTGAATCGTGGTGGAACGGCGGATTCCAGCTTGTCGGCGACCCCCGCTGTCCCCGGCCCGGGTGCTGCTCCGAGCTAATGAGCAGGAGAGCGCCGCTCCGCCGTCGGGCTGAACGCTCAGCGGGGCCGGGCAGTCCGGAGAGGGCTCCACTCTCCCCTCGCCCGGGGAGGGGAAGGGCGGCAACGGCGGCGGCTGGGTTGCCGGAGGAAGGAGGGGCGGGGGCGAGGCGCGTGTCGTCAACCGGCCGGGGGAGGGCCTGCCGAGGCGCCCGCGCATAAAAGTGGCCGGAGCGAGGGAACCGCCGCGCAAAGGGGCCAGGGCAGCGCGGGAGCGGCGTTCTCCGGCCCGGCCGCCTCCCCCCAAGCAGGCGCCCCGGTCCTCGACGACCCCTGTCCCGCCTGGCGCGCGGGACGTGGCGGGGCCGCGATCGGGGTCGGGCGTGAGCGGCTCGTCCCGGCCTCGGAGACCTGGCGCTCGCCGCCCGGAGGAGCCGCTGCTGGAGAGGTGGGCGCGAGACGAGAGCGCGCTTGGCGCAGTGCATCCGAGGGGGGGAGGCGGGGATCGGCCGCCAGATTGCCCGGGCTTCTAGGAACGCAGGCCGGGGCCCGGGGCGGGGTAAAGCTGAGGGCCCGCTGGGCAGCGCTCTTGGGACAAGGCGGTTCCGCGCCACCGGCCCGGCTCCGGCGTCTAGTTTCGAGGCGCACACGTGTTCTCCAGAGGAAGTTTGCAGCGGGGGCGGCTCGCCTTTGGCAGGCCCGTTTCCACGCGCGGAATTCTTCACATTCCGTACAGCCGGCCGTGGAAGTCGGCGAGGTGCGGCTGGGGCGCCGAACTCGCAGGAAAAGGCGGCTTTATCTGAAGGAAGGTCAGAATAACGGAATGGGGCAACGCGTGTGTAGGAGGTGGGGAGAGCTCTGGAACAAAGGAAGGGTTTCTGGAGCGGCTGGGCGTCTGTCACCAGCCCCAGAAGGAGGCCGGGCCGTGCCGTGCCGGAGCCCTTTTCCCGTTCATCCCGCTGCTGTGTGCACGCGCGTGAAGAAACTGCTTCCGAAGCCCTGTTTGGCGTCCTTTAAAGGCGGCCCTGGCCTCGGCAGGCGTGTGAACGGGCGGCTGACCCGCTTTTGGCGAGGCGCAGCGTCTTTGACCCAGAGGGAGCTGCGCGCCTGGAAATAAATGCTCCTTCCCTTTGGCGGCTCTGAACAGCCCCCCCCCCTTGCCTTTTCCCTTTTGCTATTCTTCCTAGAGCCAGATTGAACACAAAGGCTGCTCTGATCCCAGTGTGTTGGGGAGGGGTCATTGGGTCATCCCGCAAGGAAGGGAATAGAAACCAGACTAGACTGCCCCTTTGGCCATCTTTGGCTTCCAATGGAGCCCAGTCCAGAGGGGAAGCAAAAGGGCTCAAAGAGAATGTCTTTATGAGGGACACATCCATCCCTAGCCTCCTCCCCCCCCCCCAGCTTATAATTCCAGCCAGTGGTGGGATTCAGATATGTGAACAACCGGTTCTCTGTCTGGATGCCGTTTCCAGAAGTCCATTCTGGGCCTGGGAAACAAAAAATTAGCTACCGGTTCTGCCGAAGTGGTGTAACCGGCTGAATCCCACCACTGATTCCAGCCTTTCATTTTCCTCAGAAATTCCAATCTTCTTGCCAAAAACTGAGGGTGTTTGCACCTGAACAGGGAGTAAGAATCCTGTGCTAGAAAAGCCAAAAAGCCCTTCAGCTTTACTTCCTGCATTCTCTGATTCCTCCAGGCTCAACTGTCCAGAGCAGATGGGGGGAGGTCAAGACGAGCCTTGTGAACAGCAGGCGCCGGGAAGGCCCCCCCCCCCCAGGGCCAAGCCCAAACCCCTGGTGCAGTTCCCTGCGTAGCTGATGGACCAACAAAGACTGCTCAGATGCACTCAGTAATTTGCTCAGAAAAATAAAGGAACTTTTGATTCATGCGAGTGAGCCAAATTTAGAGACCAGCCGTGGCTGCAGGTAGGAAGGGGTTCTGCCCACCTGCCACGAGCTGCCAAGCCCTCCTCCCCCCTCCTGTCCCAGTCCTGCAGGCTCTTGTAAGGGACACGCAGCCAGCCTTTCTTCCCATTGGGTCAGCTGCATGAATTCTCCTCTGAGCCTGGTGGACTGCGAAGTCTCTCAATCAGGACTGCAGCGGGGGGGGGGGGCAATGCACAGCCCTTGCTGGAGGGCTTGGGCGATAACTGGGACTCTGCTGGGAGAGGAATTTCTTCTCTCCAAAGAGCCTGAAAAGGATGCTGAATGGATTAAAAAGGGTCGTCATCAGGTTCTGCAAGCTTTCTTTGGAAGTGAGACATCTGTTTTCTTTTTATCTATATCCAGATTAAATTGACCAACAAACTCCATCCCATTAACGCTTTTTTTAAAATTGAGCCAAACTCCCATGTTGGGCGTTTCCATTCTTCCACCTGGCACCAGAATGGTGGGTATAGTTTTGAGCAGAGGTCAAATTGCTGCCCAACAACCTAAGCCATCACGGCTGTCAGTTCCTCCTGGAACAGCGATGAGGGCAAAAGGATGGTTTGCAGGGTTCAGAGGTGTGCATACGGGAGTCAGGCAGCCCTGGCCGCAGGAGCACCACCCCACCTGGGCAGGGGAAGCCTAACCTTCCTGCGCTTCCATCTTTTCCAGGGGGGGCTCAGGATGGCCTTAGCAGACGACACCAGCGCTGCCAGACTCATGGAGGGCTCGGCTTTCCCAGAGATTGTGGAGCTGAACGTGGGTGGTCAGGTCTACCTGACCCGCCACAGCACCCTGCAGGGCATGCCTGGCTCCTTCCTCTGGGATCTCTTCAGCCAGCAGAGTGCCCAGTCCTTGGCCCGGGACAGCAAAGGCCGCTTCTTCATTGACCGGGACGGTTTTCTCTTCCGCTACATCCTGGACTACCTGAGGGACCGGCAACTGGTGCTTCCCGAGCGCTTCCCCGAGCGGAGCCGCCTGCGGCGGGAGGCTGAGTTCTTCAAGCTGCCTGACCTGGCCAAGAGCCTGGCGCCCAAGATCAGCAAGCAAGACTCCCTGGGCGAGGAGCCCTGCGCCAGTGACCCTGAGGAGCTCTCCCCCGGCACAGAGGCTGTCCGCACCCTGGGGGCAGCTGGCACACTCTTGGCCAGCCTCCCTGGCAGCTCCCTGGCACCTGCAGCTGGGATCGGCATGGGGCAGGAGGCCCGACGGTCCGGCTTCATCACCATCGGCTACCGGGGCTCTTACACTCTGGGGAGAGACAGCCAAACAGATGCCAAGTTCCGGCGGGTGGCGAGGATCATGGTATGCGGAAAGACCTCCCTGGCGAAGGAGGTCTTTGGGGAGACCCTCAATGACAGCAGGGACCCTGACCGCCCCCCTGAGCGCTACACCTCCAGGTACTACCTCAAGTTCACATTCCTGGAGCAGGCCTTCGACCGACTGGCTGACGCCGGCTTCCACATGGTGACCTGCAACTCCACTGGGACATGTGCCTTTGCTCACGAACAGACGGATGACAAGATCTGGACCTCGTACACAGAGTACGTTTTCCACCGTGAATGAGCTTCGAGCCCCAGCGAAGCCAAAGCGCCAAAGCTGGTGATCCTTCATGCTCTGCTGATGGCGCTTTCATTCAATGCCCTCCAACTTTGAGTCTCTTCCCTGCCATGTTTCCAGCCTGCACCCCGGCAGCTCCTGAAGGATGCCAACTCTTCTGCCCTGCCACAGCCCCCCGAATCATGGACGCGGTACTGCTGGAGGAGGAGGAAAAGGAGGACGGTGTGCCGGGGGTGGGGTGGCGTCCCTGCAGCAATACTCTGCTGGCTCCTGCAGAGCCAAGATGAGGGTGGCAGTTTCATTGCGGGCCTTGCAGTGAAGCAAGTTGGGAAGGACCCTGACTGGACCCATGGGTGCTTGCCAGGCATTCTGCTGCCAGCCCTTACCCCATCACTCCTTTGAGCAGCTGCGTCCATTGGGTGTGGGGCTTTTGATGTCAGTGAGCCAAAAGCGCTAAAACCCCTTGCCTCATATGCCCTGGCATGGCTAAATGCACCCATTTTCCTTGATTGAAGTGGGGGTGACTGTGACCTTGGTGCCCAGTTTGAAAGGTGCCAGGGGTCATGGGGGCAGTGGATTCTTTGCACACCGAAAGCCTCACTCACTTTCTAAAGTGCCATCAAAAGTTTCTGTTAGAAGTAAGGAGAATGTGGGGAGGGGGGTGCAGGAGGCATACCCACCATCCAGCATACAAGCAGGGCATATTCACCAACCTGGGGGTGCTTGTGGGGGGAGAGCAGAGCCCCACATATAAGAGGCCATGTTATGTTTGCAGAAAGCCTTTGCTTCAGGAGAGTGTTTTGCTCCTAGCTGGAAGAAAGGCCGTCTCAGTTGGGCACCGGCAGAAGCCCCAGATGCTTAAAGACTACCCTTGAGTGTCCTTCTTCCATGCCCACAGTTGTTTGAGTTACAGAGGTAGGAAGGGGAAGTCTACAGGTGAGCATTGTCCAAGCTGGAGATCAGCAAAGCTCTGCACTGCGTATTTTGAGCTGGGTTGCCACTGTCGCAGGATCAGGGGCCACGCATAATAAAGGAACGAAAGAGATCTTGGCACCCGTCTCCTTCTTAATAGATCAAGGAGCCCCTGTGGGAGAGAATGCTGTTGGCAGAGGCAGCAGGTGAACCAGAGGTATTTTGCAAGAAGAATGCCTGTCCTCCCTCCCACTATGAAAATGCCCAAAGTGTCGCCATGGCATCCTTCCCTCTGGAATGGCCCAAGCCTTAGTCTGCAGGGGTCACCAAACAGCCCTTCGCTCTCTCTTGGTCAGTAGAAGGCAGGTAGCTAATCTTCAGGAGAAGGTCCAGAACCTCCTCATGGGTCACACTCACTTCTGCGAGGTGAGGCATCCCACCATCCACCACCACCCCGTTCCGAGATCTCCCTCTCAAGCTACTTGGTGTCTAAGGAGTAACCAGGTCCCAGAATCGGAAAGCCCGGGAGTTGAGGACCAGGAGACGTAGAGGACAGGAGGGAAGACCGTGAGGCACCCTCTGCTAATGAGGCAGTTATAAGGGCACATTCACGCAACATGTTCACACCAATCACAGAGTTAATGCAATTTCAGAGTTCATCCTACAATGAAGAATACATAAAATCCAGCTTTGTTTTGCAAAAATCCCAAACCATGAGAAACAAGCCAATCCCACCAGGCCTCCCTCAGTTTGGTCCCCCCAAGGTTTTTGCTCTTTTTCCAAATGCTGGAACAATGAAGATGGGAGGAGGCTTGCCCTTAGTTGAGACCATGGTTGGCCAAAGGGGATGGGTGGTCGGGCAGGACCTGTCCTGAACTCTCTAGACTAAATGTTCATAGATGAACCCTTTGCAAGTGCTCTTTCCCGAATACTGTCATGCTGTCACCCTAGTGTTAGGTCACATGAACTCGGAGAGGAAAATGGACGTCGCCAACAAAATTGGAGTTCTTGGGTATGGTTAGGAAGACACTGACTTTTGTAGCCTGCCCTATCTATGTTTCCTGGTAAAATACATGGGAAAATCCCATTGGAGGAAAATTCCACTTAGGGTTAGGTCACCATGAACTCATACGGCAAAAAGGACATCGGCAACAAATTCGGAGTGCTTGGGTATGGCTGGGGGGGAACTGACTTTTGTAGCCTGCCCTATCTATGTTTCCTGGTAAAATACATGGGAAAATCCCATTGGAGGAAAATTCCACTTAGGGTTAGGGTTAGGTCACCATGAATTCGGAGAGGAAAATGGACATCGCCAATAAACTCAGAGTGCTTGGGTATGGTTAGGAAGGCAGTGACTTTTGTAGCCTGCCCTATCTATGTTTCCTGGTAAAATACATGGGAAAATCCCATTGGAGGAAAATTCCACTTAGGGTTAGGGTTAGGTCAACATGAATTCGGAGAGGAAAATGGACATTGCCAACAAACTCGGAGTGCTTGGGAATGGTTAGGAAGGCACTGACTTTTGTAGCCTGCCCTATCTATGTTTCCTGGTAAAATACATGGGAAAATCCCGTTGGAGGAAAATTCCACTTAGGGTTAGGGTTAGGTCACCATGAATTCGGAGAGGAAAATGGACATCGCCAATAAACTCAGAGTGCTTGGGTATGGTTAGGAGGGCACTGACTTTTCTAGCCTACCCTATCTATGTTTCCTGGTAAAATACATGGGAAAATCCCATTGGAGGAAAATTCCACTTAGGGTTAGGGTTAGGTCACCATGAACTCATATGGCAAAATGGACATCGCCAACAAATTCGGAGTGCTTGGGTATGGTTAGGAAGGCACTGACTTTTCTAGCCTGCCGTTTCTATCTTTCGTGGTAAAATACATGGGAAAATCCCATTGGAGGAAAATTCCACTTAGGGTTAGGGTTAGGTCACCATGAATTCGGAGAGGAAAATGGACATCGCCAATAAACTCAGAGTGCTTGGGTATGGTTAGGAGGCACTGACTTTTCTAGCCTACCCTATGTATGTTTCCTGGTAAAATACATGGGAAAATCCCATTGGAGGAAAATTCCACTTAGGGTTAGGGTTAGGTCACCATGAATTCGGAGAGGAAAATGGACATCGCCAACAAACTCGGAGTGCTTGGGTATGGCTAGGAAGGCAGTGACTTTTGTAGCCTGCCCTATCTATGTTTCCTGGTAAAATACATGGGAAAATCCCATTGGAGGAAAATTCCACTTAGGGTTAGGGTTAGGTCACCATGAATTCGGAGAGGAAAATGGACATCGCCAATAAACTCAGAGTGCTTGGGTATGGTTAGGAGGGCACTGACTTTTCTAGCCTGCCCTATCTATGTTTCCTGGTAAAATACATGGGAAAATCCCATTGGAGGAAAATTCCACTTAGGGTTAGGGTTAGGTCACCATGAACTCATAGAGAAAAATGGACATCGCCAACAAACTGGAGTGCTTGGGTGGTTAGGAGGGCACTGACTTTTCTAGCCTGCCCTATCTATGTTTCCTGGTAAAATACATGGGAAAATCCCATTGGAGGAAAATTCCACTTAGGGTTAGGTTAGGTCACCATGAACTCATGGCAAAATGGACATCGCCAACAAATTCGGAGTGCTTGGGTATGGTTAGGAAGGCACTGACTTTTCTAGCCTGCCGTTTCTATCTTTCGTGGTAAAATACATGGGAAAATCCCATTGGAGGAAAATTCCACTTAGGGTTAGGGTTAGGTCACCATGAATTCGGAGAGGAAAATGGACATCGCCAATAAACTCAGAGTGCTTGGGTATGGTTAGGAAGGCACTGACTTTTCTAGCCTGCCCTATCTATGTTTCCTGGTAAAATACATGGGAAAATCCCATTGGAGGAAAATTCCACTTAGGGTTAGGGTTAGGTCACCATGAATTCGGAGAGGAAAATGGACATCGCCAACAAACTCGGAGTGCTTGGGTATGGCTAGGAAGGCAGTGACTTTTGTAGCCTGCCCTATCTATGTTTCCTGGTAAAATACATGGGAAAATCCCATTGGAGGAAAATTCCACTTAGGGTTAGGTCACCATGAATTCGGAGAGGAAAATGGACATCGCCAATAAACTCAGAGTGCTTGGGTATGGTTAGGAGGGCACTGACTTTTCGAGCCTACCGTATCTATGTTTCCTGGTAAAATACATGGGAAAATCCCATTGGAGGAAAATTCCACTTAGGGTTAGGGTTAGGTCACCATGAACTCATATGGCAAAATGGACATCGCCAACAAATTCAGAGTGCTTGGGTATGGTTAGGAAGGCACTGACTTTTCTAGCCTGCCCTATCTATGTTTCCTGGTAAAATACATGGGAAAATCCCATTGGAGGAAAATTCCACTTAGGGTTAGGGTTAGGTCACCATGAATTCGGAGAGGAAAATGGACATCGCCAATAAACTCAGAGTGCTTGGGTATGGTTAGGAGGGCACTGACTTTTCTAGCCTACCGTATCTATGTTTCCTGGTAAAATACATGGGAAAATCCCATTGGAGGAAAATTCCACTTAGGGTTAGGGTTAGGTCACCATGAACTCATATGGCAAAATGGACATCGCCAACAAATTCAGAGTGCTTGGGTATGGTTAGGAAGGCACTGACTTTTCTAGCCTGCCCTATCTATGTTTCCTGGTAAAATACATGGGAAAATCCCATTGGAGGAAAATTCCACTGAGGGTTAGGGTTAGGTCACCATGAATTCAGAGAGGAAAATGGACATCGCCAACAAACTCGGAGTGCTTGGGTATGGCAAGGAAGGCAGTGACTTTTGTAGCCTGCCCTATCTATGTTTCCTGGTAAAATACATGGGAAAATCCCATTGGAGGAAAATTCCACTTAGGGTTAGGGTTAGGTCACATGAATTCGGAGAGGAAAATGGACATCGCCAACAAACTCGGAATGCTTGGGTATGGTTAGGAAGGCAGTGACTTTTGTAGCCTGCCCTATCTATGTTTCCTGGTAAAATACATGGGAAAATCCCATTGGAGGAAAATTCCACTTAGGGTTAGGGTTAGATCACCATGAATTCGGAGAGGAAAATGGACATCGCCAAACAAACTCGAGTGCTTGGTATGGTTAGGAAGGCATGACTTTTCTAGCCTGCCTATCTATGTTTCCTGGTAAAATACATGGGAAAATCCCATTTGGAGGAAAATTCCACTTAGGGTTAGGGTTAGGTCACCATGAATTCGGAGAGGAAAATGGACATCGCCAACAAACTCGGAGTGCTTGGGTATGGTTAGGAAGGCACTGCCTTTTCTAGCCTGCCCTATGTATGTTTCCTGGTAAAATACATGGGAAAATCCCATTGGAGGAAAATTCCACTTAGGGTTAGGGTTAGGTCACCATGAATTCGGAGAGGAAAATGGACATTGCCAACAAACTCGGAGTGCTTGGGAATGGTTAGGAAGGTACTGACTTTTGTAGCCTGCCCTATCTATGTTTCCTGGTAAAATACATGGGAAAATCCCATTGGAGGAAAATTCCACTTAGGGTTAGGGTTAGGTCACCATGAATTCGGAGAGGAAAATGGACATCGCCAACAAATTCGGAGTGCTTGGGTATGGTTAGGAAGGCAGTGACTTTTGTAGCCTGCCCTATGTATGTTTCCTGGTAAAATACATGGGAAAATCCCATTGGAGGAAAATTCCACTTAGGGTTAGGGTTAGGTCACCATGAATTCGGAGAGGAAAATGGACATCGCCAACAAACTCGGAGTGCTTGGGTATGGTTAGGGAGGCAGTGACTTTTGTAGCCTGCCCTATCTATGTTTCCTGGTAAAATACATGGGAAAATCCCATTGAAGGAAAATTCCACTTAGGGTTAGGGTTAGGTCAACATGAATTCGGAGAGGAAAATGGACATTGCCAACAAACTCGGAGTGCTTGGGAATGGTTAGGAAGGCACTGACTTTTGTAGCCTGCCCTATCTATGTTTCCTGGTAAAATACATGGGAAAATCCCGTTGGAGGAAAATTCCACTTAGGGTTAGGGTTAGGTCACCATGAATTCGGAGAGGAAAATGGACATCGCCAATAAACTCAGAGTGCTTGGGTATGGTTAGGAGGGCACTGACTTTTCTAGCCTACCCTATCTA